TACTTACGTATTTTTTTTCTCTGAAGCCATCTTCTGCGCGGGACTTAGTTCGCTTGCATTGGTTAATGGAGTTTTTTGTTTCGTACAAAACGTTTATATATAAATGATATTATGTAATTTCCGATAACGCTTACTATTTCTAACCTTACAATATCATCGTATTTGTTCAAATACTTCACTCTACCTAAGAGATCATTATTTATGTATGCTGCAACATTTCACATTATAATAATAATAACTACCGTGTTGATTTTGTAAAGTAATCTGAACAATAGAAACAGTTGCCTGTGACGTCAATACTGTATGAAGTGTGACATTGTTATTATTATCGAATAAATTATTCATAGCGTTTATATAATGCCTAAAGTAAACCTCTTTAAACGTGTTCGCTTTCCAATTTTATATACCGGTATATATATATCCATAAAAATAGTTCCAAAATTCGTCTATATAAACACTAAAAAATTTTATAGCACATGTTTGATCGAGATCATTGCTGCTAATAGTTAATTTTAATGCATGTATTTACCGGATTATATCGTGGTCTAAATATTATAAACTTTGAATTTTGCCCGTTAAGTGTAATATCGTTTGCAATAAACCAAGTAGAAAAATGTCAAGAGTTCATTATTCATTATTTGAAAAGCTTTAAGGTTCTTATAAAAACGAAACACACTTGTGCCATCAGCAAACATAACAATTTTGGTTTGTCTAATGACTTTAAAGACCATTTACATGCAGTGAAAACAGAAACCTAAAATGGAGCCTTGATAGCACTCAATTTTATAATAGCTATATCAGATGAATTATTGTCTATGAAAGTTGATTGTTTTTAATAATAATAATAATAAATTTATTTTTATATAGCGCAGAATGCTATAAACCTCTTTACGTTAACAAGCAAAAGCCGGAACAGAATTAAAAGAAACGATGATTAAAACAGTTTTCGAAAATCTTTTACAATCAAAACAAAAACAGGTTAATTTTGTGATTAATATTTATTTTTAAATTTTATTTTCATAATGTTATATGTTTAATTAGTTAAACAAATGTTTTCTATTCGACAGGTAACTAGAACACCACTGCACGGTGCAATACCTAGTTCATATACCATAATACTGTAACTTAAGTTGTCTAATAGTGCAAATATGGTGATTATCAGCTTGGATGTCTAAAAACTGCAGTGGTATTTAAGTTTTATTGTTAACAGCGGAGTTCTTTGTTTTTTATTTAACTATTTGTTACCATTTTCTTTGACTAATTGACCTGTATAAACTTTTGTTTCATTTTACAGTGTTTTATTTAGTTGTATGTCATTCAATAGGTCTGCAAACCACATATTTTAATATCCCATTACGAACATTAATTTATGTAGGCCTATAAAATATACAGAAGGCCTAGATAAGGTAAGTTAACATCAATAATCTTCTCTGTCATATACATAATCTATTATAGGCCTTTAATTTATCTGCGTTTCTGTTGTACTTTTTAATTTGATTTAATTTCTTTTATATTTTTCTGGATGCACCATCAGGTATGTCTGGTTATCTACGGCGCCACTGATGCTTGAAGAGTGAATTTTGGTTTGTCTAACCATTTACAGACAGTGGAAACAGTGTAAACCTAAAATGGAGCCTTGAGGCACTCAATTTTATAATAGCTATATCAGATGAATTATTTTCGATGAAAGTTGATTGTTTTTAATAATAATAATAATAATAATAAATTTATTTTTATAGCTAGTGAATCCCGGGTGTATTTGTATTCGTATTTTACTTGCTCGTTGGTGGCTCTGTCTAAAATTAAAAAAAAAACAAACTTCCGTTTGATTTTTTGTGTGGCTGACTAACTAATGAAAACCATGCTACGTAATTTGCGTTTCCCGTTAATATTTGGTGGTCTCTTGGCCGCTTATGGTACAGCTTTTATATACAGGTAAACACAAAACAGAAACGAAGCAAACATGCCCCCACTTGTGGACCCTCCTAAAATGCAGCCTAGGCCTAGCCTAGTCATCCCTAGTCTTACAATAGCTAGCCTAGGTCTAGACTGTGGTAGGCCCGTAGGGCCTTGGCCTAGCTAGGCCCTGGCCTGGTTGGGCCTTCCATAATGTTCAGGCAGGTCTAGACCTAGCTAGCTTAAAGATAGAGTCTGGTTTAGGCCCTAGGCCTAGTAGGTTCTGTATGTAGGCCATATGGTCATTATCCATGGAAAAGCAGAGTGAGTTTTAAAAGTGAGTGAGTACTACTAGGGCTAGGCCTAGAGTAGGTGCATTAAACACATCTAGTAATTAAAATTGCTATGGAACGGGGCGACGACTTGGTTAGGGGTCGACTTGGGTGGGGGGAACTTTGTAAGGGGTGACTTGCTTGACTGGATCCCCTGACACCATATTGGCAGTAGTAGTATGGCATGACACTGTGTGTGGGTCTCAAGAGGCCTATTCAATTAACTGTAATGTATACCCACACCCAATAAGTTGTAACTTTTGTAGTCGACTCCAGTCTGGCCTAGGGCCTACTACTACCAACCTAGGCTTACCTACTAGCTAGGCCTAGCCTAGCTATAGGCCTACTACTGTACACAGTCTACTGGTGGTCTACCTGTGACTAGGCCTAGTCCTGTTTTGTTATTGCCGCTCTTTTTTATGCAGCTGTCAGTAGTATGATGTGCTTATACAACACCCGGGAAGGGTGCGTCACTTGTTGAATGTCCATCATACATATGCATGCCATGACGCACCCTTTCATCAAAAATGTGACTAACCATTTTGTCAGTACAATGTGTGAAAGTGACTGACCTTGACTAGTTGCTGTACATATATGACGTACGCTAATTGCGTTGTCTTGAACAGTTCGGACCCGCGTTATACGATCCCCTCTCTCTCTCTGGGCCTGTACATACGTAGGTCCAATACAAAGTCCAATATGAACATCGTGACTTATGCAGTTGTCCAACCCATGGAACTCAAGATTTTAGCGAGACTGGAGGTGCGCTAGTGAAGTGTACCCCCACCACTAAAAAGTTTTTTTTTTCCATGAACATGCATTTTAATTCTAATCTTTCAAGGTGTCGGTAATACTTGAAAAGCCATTGTATGCCGAGATCGATGCACAATTTAAATGAAAAATACACACAAATACTGCATTATTGGTATCAAAAATTAACTAAATTTTCTGTTTTTGGTGTTTGGGTTTCTTTTCTTAAATCGTGGGAGTATTTTTTGACAGAATTCAGGAGACTGGGAGATTGAATAAATATTTGTGAGACTATTGCATTGATAGTGTTGGAACATATGCTAATACCGCACACATCGCTGAACTTTTCACTGAATGTATCAACAAAATTGTAGTTGAAATGTGTACATGTATGCAAAATCTTATTATCTATATACTGTATTTAATCCCAAGTGCAAATGATACTACGATTCGACCAAAATAGATTTACTCTTTGTCTTGATAAAAATTATGTGAGATTATGACATTTTCATCAAGTATTTTTGATTGATTGTCTTTCAGGAAAAACTACCTACAAGAACCAGATAGATTGGATGAAGATACATACAACCAAAAACAGAATGAATTGATGCAGCACAAGAAACTAGCAAATGATCAAAGAAAGAAAATGTTGGATCAGAGGAAAAAGATGATGGAGGAGAAAAACAATTAGTTCACAAAAAACAATACAATTTTCATAATTTTATTCAGTGACTGTTATTGCTAAATTAAAATTAACTTTAAGCTATATAATATAGATAATGATATTTAAATTCTATTACAAATATGGATTCACCAAATAAGGATTTACAAAGTGGAATAAAGACTTCATCACCCTACAAAACTGTCGACAATTGTTCACTGACAGTTAATCAGAGACCTAGGCCTAGGCCTGCATTGGTAGGAAATGCTAAAGAAGATGGAATTCCCCTCAGGTACCTAGAGGTTAGCCTTCATGACCTAATGGAGGATGAGGGCAAGAGCTCACCATCGGATTTCAAGTTGCCACAAGGAAAGCAAAGTCAAAGTGAGGAGGAGAGACTCGCTTGCCACATATGCAAAAAAGTTCTTGCGCATATGAATGTACAGAGGCAGCAGCAACATCTAAATAGGTAAAAAGGACATTTTATTGGTATTTTTTTTTCACAAACCAGCCCCCTCTGTGTGGTTGTATAGCAGTTACTCCGCAAAGAGTAATATGCTAGATCCGGTAGTTTTCATACATGCTGTATTCTAACGGTTCTGTACCATCCACCGCTGTCAAAGCTGAACTCCAATATCAGACAAAATTAATCCAACTAATGGATCATTCTAGAATTTCAATTAAACTTAACAACTGACCAATCAGAACAGCGCCAGGACTACTGTTTGTGTGCGTGTTCCACAAACATGCATGCTCTCCCACAAATGTGTGCGCATGTTTTTCTATTTTACCGAGGACCTCAACTTCACCACACACTCATGACCCGAGGACCTTATGCCTCACAGAGGACCAAAAACCCGGTCCTTGAAGCACTAGTGCTGCATTGTGCTGGATTTGCGTGTACAATGCATTTCCAGAGTTTCTGCAACGGTCCTCGGCTGGCGGAAAAATTTGAGACGAGCACTTACTGCATCGATGACATGACCGTCGCACGACGAATCTAACTCCACCCTCTGTGGGTGATAGACGACGCGACACCGTGTGGTGATTGTCAGTGGCAGTCTAAACAGATTGTCATTAAAAACGATCACGCGTTGTCGCGTTGCGTTCTGTATAGAATCGCGTTGGCTGACTACCGTCGTGGGCAGCGAGTACCTGGCTTTAGGGCTTAGAAGAAAGGTCCATCGTACAATCGGGTGAGATGTCTTCACCACTGGTCCGAATAATTAACTGGCTGTGCAACTATAAATTGCTTATATGCTACATTATTTAAGATGTTTAGTGTTCATTTTGTGCTAGCTTAGGTAATGGTTTGGTGGTCCTCATTGAATAATGCTACATTTATATAGTGTATTGCAATAAACTGCCTCTGTAGCTGGCTCAAACAGCTATTGTATGGAACACATCGTCTTGGAAAGACCATTCCATAGTAGTTAGAATAGAATAGGCGCTTGGTAATACACCCTACCAGGTACCCACTCTTGGGTGCTGAGAGAAACGTACAGTATATACCGTAATGTGTCGTGCACAAGGAAATGTGACTTGCACAAAAAAGAGGTCAAACTCCTGACCATGTGGTTAAGCATCTGACCCACAACAGTTTTATCAACTTCCAACAAGCTTGTATTTTGAATATTTATGATAAAACTAATATAAAAACAGTTTTTTTGTGCAGTAATATGATCTTTTGATAATTTTTTTAGGTGCATGGATAAAGCAGAAAAAGAAAAGGAAACAGCACAAGCAACTACTGTCTTGGATTGCCCTATTTGTGGCAAAAGGTTAAAAACAGAAAAGGTAAAAAAAAAATATTTTATCATATGTGAAACCTATTAAACTCACAGTAATCGATCCAAGGGGGGGGGGGGCGGCAGTCAGAACCCCCTCCCAAATTTCTTTAAATTTAAAAAAATAGAGAAAAAAAGAAAATTCTAATCAAATTTTGATTCTAAAAGTGCCATTTCCCTCCATATGGAGGTGATATAATCATAAATTTGAGGTACTTTAGACCCTCCATCTGTGAAAATCCCTCACTGGGCCCATCTATTTCAAATTCATGGATTTGCCAAAGGCTCACATTGTAAAAACTATTAAAATAGTTAAAAACAAATGTTCCATAATTTGTCTGCTTTTTGTAGTAACTGTGAAATAGCAGTACTGTACTTGAAAAAGACAACTGTAGATTTAATTGACATCAGTGGTGTAGCAAATCATGGGGTCAGGGGAAAAAAACATTTTAAGACCCATGTATTTAAGTAACATATTTGCTAGTCTAAGAATATTATGAATATCACTCTATAAAAAGACTGAATTAAAAGCAATGTCATTATCGTAAAGAATATAAATATTTTGTGTGACTATAAACAATAGAATCAACTTTTATTTTCCCACACTTTTGGGCTCCTTTATACTGGGGCCCTGATGCGTCGCCCCCTGAGAGCGCATGGCGTTATACCACCGATTGACATGCACGTAAGACCACACTGTAAACTTGTTTGCGCAGAGTCTTTTAGTTACGCAGAGTTTTTAATAATATGGTTGTATGTTGGGAGATACAACAAATCCTATTTTTTCTGGAAAATAAATAAAGGTGGAAATTCATCCTTTTAAAAAAAAAAAAACTGCACAGATATATTTCTAGGCTTATTAAATAATTTTTGTGTGATATTCAAATAAATTCATCTCTGTAATTAAAGTTTTTGTATGAATGTATCCAGTATATAACAAAAGAGGAAAAAATTATTCAGAAAATTTAACCAGCATAATCCTCCTTTAATTATACTGATTCAGTCAGATGATTTATATTATATTCAGTCAGATGTAGTTATTTGTATAATTAATTATTATACTGTATAATTTATTTTATGATCTAATACAGCTTCATATTTTTTTTAATTATGAGCAGCAAAGAAAAGTTCACTTGAAGATATGTGGAAAGTCCAGTGGTTTGAAACCCCAAGAGTTACTGGAAAAAATTAAGCAGCAGGAGATAGAAATTAAACCAAATAGCAGCAATGTTCTTAGTTTCCAGAAACCACAAGCAGAGAGGTAAACACTTTATGTGAATAATGTGCAATTATTACCCTGTTTACCTGACAGGAATGTACCAGACTGTAATTAAATATTAACAAATTTATTAAGGATCCCTAGCAAAGGTATTCCCTCTGTGCATTGTGAGAATGCACATGCAAAGACCACTCGATACCTCCCTACATGTTAGTGAAAAACTTCAAAGAGGTCTTTCACATTCCTGAGATAGTGGGTGATGATCAAGGTCAGTGATTTGTCCACCAGGGACAGACCCAGATTTAAAAAAAAAAACAACAGAATAGATAAGTGTGTATTCTATTATTTTTTTTTATTTAAAAAAATGGCATTGTTGTAATGTATTTAAATTGTTAAAAATGCAGTGGCTAAACAGAGAGGAGTGAGTGTCCTGTACCTTTTGCATCTTCCCCCCTCCCCCATCTTATAGGATATACATATAGTTAATTTAGGCCGTTGTATCCTATGGGGTTAGGCTGGGTGGAGAGAGGCAAAGTGCTCTTCCTCAAGAATACCATCAAAATGCAGTGTCTTAAATTTAAGAGCAAAAATGGCAGCTGCTCTACCAACCACTCATATGACCCTGATGATGATTTTATTTTTTTCTTGAATAGACCTAAGCCAAAAAGAGGAAGGAAAAAAGCCGCAGCAACGAAGACAAAACAATCTTGGTAAGGCTATCTATCTCTACACTATGAAGTTTTATGTGAAAAGTACATATAACTTGCTCACATATGGGCGAGTGGTCACACGTCGTAGAAGTGATGTGATATCACCATGCCCATATTTGGCAAATTTTTATGCAGACAGTGGCATAACGAAAGAGCTTGAGACACCTGGCCAAGGCTTCTTCAGACTCTGCTAACCTGTTGGGTGGTTGGTCTTGTCGGAGACCAGTAGAATAGGGAGGAAAACTCCGCCTGCTTCAGGCCATATTTTTTACATGTTCTGCTTCTTGAAATGGCCGTTCTAGGCTGATTTTTGGACAAAAAATATGCTGATGAATATCTGAGAGCCCTTTAAGTTTATGGGCCCCTGGTTTTAGCCAATCCCAGCTCATAGTTGTTACGCCACAGACTGCAGATAATTGTGTACACAATTTGTCTCATGTTCTGAACCCAGTACATCTCTCGAGACTAGTAGGGGGTTACCACGGTGTACTGATCCATACTGCTGCTGTTGTGGATGGACTGAGTAGATGGTACTAGTTTACCGGGTAGCTCACACACGAAGAGTCCCTAATAATGAGAAAAGCAAGTTACTGTATATGAGCTATTTACATCTCAAGTGCTTTGAAAACCATTTAGGTACAAAGTGCTATATAAATCCAACTACATATACATTACATCATGTATTTTTATATTGAATACATATACAAATATTAAATTACCATTTATGTATTTGTTAAATCAAGGGAAACAGATGAAGAACTGCAGGTTGCCATGGCAATATCTGCATCTCTTAATGATCAAGAAAGTAAAAATGCTGTTTGTGACCTGTACGAAAGGAAGAATAAAAAGAAGACAAAGAGAGGAACAAAAGCGAAGTTAGTATTATTGTATTTGTAGTAGGCAATGTTGTATTCATAATAAATAGTTTTTAAATATTGTGAAATGGCAAGGCCTCAATCCATTTATGAAATTATATTTGCTCTTCCATAGAAGCGAGTGCGCAGCATGTCCCTTTAGCTTTCAATCGGAAGGTCAAGGGTTCGAGGCCAATGCTCGTCACACTGCTTGTGTCCTTGGGCAAGACACTTTATCTGCATTTGCCTCTCTTCACCCAGGAGTATAAATGGGTACCTGGTAGGAGGGTGAGGGATTCGGAATGAAATTAGTAGTGCTGATTACACGCATAACTAGGAATACTCCCCATGGAGTGGAGAAGGTTACAAGTTGTGTGTGATTGATTCTGTATCCAATGGCCAGCGAAAAAGCACCTTGAACAGTTTTCTAGATTTGTGTGCTTTATAAATCCTATTAAATAATAAATAAATAATATTAATTAACTTCCAGACCCAAAATATTTCAACATGTATTAATTTTTTTTTTTTTACAATAGTTCTAGTACCAGTTATTTACATCATAATATGCAGGTCATATTTTGTTAGTATTAAATTATATAAAATCATCAATATACCACATATTCCAGTCTTAATTTAGAGTTATAATATTTTTGTTGTTTTGTTTTGAAATGTTTATTTTATTTTAGCAAACTGTTGGAGATGCCCGTATTACTCTCAAGAAGTGAAGCAGAAAAAACAAGGATTACAGTTGACAGGTTTACAAACATTTTAGAATGGGTGAGATAAATCTGAATTGATTTAAAAAAATAAAAGTGTTTTCTTTGTTTATTTATATGTTTATTCATTAACATTCTGACCGCCAGGGGTTTAAAAAAACTGGTATCAGCCACCGCCAGACTTTTTAGCGAAATTTAACACTTTTCCGAAGCTCGTTGAGAGTGTGTATGTGATCAGATTGACATGTAATGAATACTACAAGAACTACAAACATCTTCGCTTTACAATGGTACCAAAACACTTTATTCTAATCACAGTCTATGACATGTAACAGTAAAATTAAAGTGACTCGCTTTTATTATTTTACGCACATTCACACAATGAAAAGCTGAGACTACTGTGTTTCGGTATCGCTGTGCAATATAAGGTCACTAAGAAAAGGTCACTAAGTATAGGTCACATTGAAATAGCTAAACACTAACAGTCCAACCTGAAAATAGTGTTGAGATTGTTATTACATGTCGGTAGTTACCCCATCTATCGGATTCCATAAGAGAACCTGAAACACAGAGTTTGGCGGGCAGAGCGTTAACAAAAACACTTCTCATTAAATTGTATACAGTAATGTATAAATAATAATTTTATTGGATTTTTCATTACTCATCAGACTCCACAGTTAAAAACTAAAATATGAGATTTTATCGTAAGTGCTCATCTCCAATTTCCGGCCATCCAGAAGTGACATATCCATTTTGTACCTGAGCACACACATTTTGGGTCTTAAGTTATCTAGACTGTCCATACAGTATGTAACATTTCATTTCTGCTACCCCCTCCCCCTTTTATTTCGGATTCCTGGATCTGCCACTGATCATGTACACATGATGTTTTCATCCCATGTGAGATTTAAATGTTGATTTGTTTTTATGTTTTTATTCTGAAAGAATTCAGATGAGGAAGAGGAAGTGATCACACTACCTCCAAGCAGATTGAAGAAAAACAGGATTGTCAACCAATCCACTTCATCCAAGGTTAGCTAAATTTGTACCTGTTGTGGCAAAGACAAGCCAAACCAGTCATTGGTTGCAAAAATTGATGTTTAGTTATTAATACAAGGTTAAACAATAAAATGAGAGCTATAAAATGGTAGAAAAAATCAATAGAATCCAACATTTCCTTATTAAGTTACAAGCATTTAAACACATAGCTGTTCAAAGAACAATATTTGAGAAATCATTCTTCAAAGTTTATGATTTTGGGCACTTCTCAGGCAAAGATTATCACCAAATCGTTAAAAATTGTTGTTTTAACATTGAAAGTGGGGAAAATACCAGCATAGCATGATGTATAGTTATAAAGATTAAATATTTTAGTGCAATAAAATAGATTTCAAAAATGTTGACATTCCAGCATGTTTTGGTCATTATCTCTAAAACATGATTTGCGATGAGTGACTGGTTTGGCCTGTCTTTTCCACTTTTACTAACTTTCAATGATTTTTTTTTTCTCCATAAGCAATTATTTTATTTTGTTAAAAAAAGTGTTTGATTGATATATAATTAAATTTAAAATTTTAATCCCTAAATAAATAACATTTACTTTTAAAAGGAGTATACAATTGATTATATTCATTCCTTATTTCAATAATAATAATAATAATAATAGATGGATTTATATAGTGCAAATAAACAAGGTCTGTGTGTGCTCAACAATTGGTAAAATGTTAACGAAAAAAGGCTGAATAAAAAGAAAAGAAAAAAAAAGAACACCAAGCTACATTTTTTAAATATTTATTTATTCATTAATACATTTATCCAGTTATTCATTTTAACAATCATTTATATAATTAACTTGCTTATTTAATTCATGTATTTATTCACACACTTATTAGATCTATATTTAGCTAATATCATAAACAATAACTAATGCATTTAGCTAATATCATAAACAATAATGCTATCACTAATAAAGATTGTTAATTTACTACTTAAATGGGAGTAGTTGTTTCATACAGTGTTTCTCATTTTTATCTCAGTTAATATAAGCTGGATTCATCTAGTTTTAATACACCTACGGAACCTATAGCTGAAACTTACTTAATTTAAAAATTGTTAATTAATTAATATTATTATTATTATTGTAATTATTATTATTTGTTTTTATCTCTAATAATAATAATAATAATATTATTATTATTAAAATTATTATTAGTATTGGTTTTTCTCTCTAATATTAAATTTGTGTAGCCACATCTTAATTATTGGAGCTTATCAAGCCTGACCGGGAATTATGAGCAAAACCAGGAATTTGTGTCCAAACAAACACAGAAATGTGTGACTGAGAAAGAAACCAACCCAAGTATACTCACCCAGTCAACAAGAAATGTGAGGGTAAGTCTACAGTCATGGTATTATCATATCTTAAATTTACAGTGAACTCTCCAATTCGAGACTCCCCTCTAACTTGAGACCATTTTTCAAAATAAAAACCCAAATAACAATCCCCAATCTTTTGACACAAAGCTATAGCCCTCTATTATTGGAGACCAAACCCTGAAACCACCCCAAATTTTCAGGTCCGAAAAGGTGGTCTCAAATTGAAAGGCAATCTGTATTATGTTCTCAGTATGGAAAATATATTCTTGGCTGTAGTTGCGCACCCTCCAATTCGAGACCCCTCTAATTTATTCAATCAATCCATCAATTGTTCTATTTATATGGTGCCATTTCATTCCAATTTGAGACCATTTTTTCAAAGAACCAAATTAAGCAATGTTCAATTTTTAACACAAAGCTAACCCTCTAATTGGAGACCAAACCTTGAGACTACCACAAGTTTTCAGGTCCCAAAGGTTATCTCGAATTGGAGGGCTAACTGTATTATGTTCTCAGTATGAAATAGCTACTGTATTCTTAACTGTACTATTCTTCAGTATTAACAATGACTATTTGTGAGGTGGTGTGACAAATATCCATTTCTCTACTGCTGTATCTTTTTACTATTACAATAGACACAGAGGATCTACTAAGCATTTTGTGTTAACAACTGTTATCATTCTGCTATATTTATAGTCAATGTCTGAGCAGAGTGCAAGTGGATCAATTTCCAGCACTTGCAGGATTCTGGCAGAATTAGCTGAAGATCATGTGACCCAGTCTGGAGGACATTCACCTCCAAAACAGGTAGGGTGTCATCATAAGTTTGAAAGATTAAGAATATTTTGCAACATCAGGTCAAATCTTCACATGATGGTAACTTTGGTGTGGAGAAACTCCTCCACTGGGGATTATTATAGATGATCAGCGGTCACAAGTCCACCTTGACTTGTAGGAGTCTTTCGAAATCAAGACATTTACCCGCAGCCCCTCAAGGAAGTAAATCTTCCAGAATCTCTCTCAAATTCCATGTATTTACATGTATTTTTACTACTGTATTACCAACTGTCTTCCAGACAGCTGGTAATGGCTATCCCAGTACACAGAAAAATAAGTTGGATGTGTGTGCTCTGAACCGTGGAGATCTCTTGGTTCCTGGTTCAATTCCCATAAGTTTAAAAAAATTGCACCATCTTTCGGTTGAGCCGTTGGCCCCTGTGCACCTTAAAGAATGCAGTAACACTCTTCGGAAAAGAGTAGGGGATTGTCTGTGGTGTACTGCCCAATCACCCCCAGAAGGACCACGGTTCAGCACAGAAGGACCCCAGGATTTTCGTGATTTATCCTTGGTGTCTATCACACTGAAGAAATGCAGTCCAATCAAAGTTAGGCTGAATAACCAGATCTCATGGAAGTAGTTTCTATCAACTTGGAATATTTATATTTTGCCTATTAGAAGTTAATATTTATAACTTATTTTTATGTTTTTAATTTAAATATTTAATGTGTTAACTGTTAACTATATTTGTATTAGGGTTTGCCAAGGTTCTGCAATAGGCAGTGTAGGGGCCTACAGTATATTATTGTCAGTATATTACCTTTACAGGCTTCTACCGAAGAGGACTGGCATAAGACGAACCTCATAGGGTGCTTCTCATCTCTCATTGACAATGAATTCTTGAGCGACGTGACAATCCAATGTGAAAATGACACCACCATCAATGCCCACTCTTTCATCATTCACCTCCGATGCCCAGATCTTCACAAGGTACAGTATAACAAATTTGTTTTAATTCATGTATATTGCATTTTTGCCCAGGATAGATGATTACAATCACCATCTGTAATTATAATGTGTAAATAAATTATGAGAGTGGAGAAAATCTATAGATAGCCAGTGTAAAGATACAAACAATCGGTGGCTTATCTAGGAGTCTTGAAGTGGGGATGCTGATTGGGGGAAAGGGTGGGCGCGAAGGTGAAGTGGGGGAGCTCCATGATCAGTTGAGAAAGCGCTAACTCGCAAAATAAGGTGATTTTGGGTGCTTTTTTAACAACTTGACTGGGATTTTTTGGGGCGCCAGGGTGTGCTGTGTGTACTTTTTGGTGGGGTATGCGCGCACCACCCGCACACCCCCTTAGATATGACACTGCAAACAAGTTATGAAGGTGATTATAATTTGGTTTAAAGCTCTGTCCACACTATGATGTGCCCATATATGGCCATGATGTCATATTATATCCAAACATGGGCATATCATTTTATTTGTCACTTAAATTATTTGTGAGGTCTCACCATGAAATGAAATGCATCGTTGGTGAAATCATATTGAGATATTCACCAAAATAGGGAAAAGTCAAAATTAAAAAAAATTTTGATTCAATGTCTTTAAATAAGTGGATACTTATATTTTATGATTGTATACGTTTTAAGTGAATTTTCTAACTAAAACACTGTTCTTTGCACATATTCTGTACTTCTAGTCCTACTATTTGTACAGGTTAGTTTATCTTCGAGGCTGATTTTCTCAAAAGGTGGTTTTCATTCACTTGCATTTTAAATGCTCACATCTCTGGATCTACGTTTCCCAGGGAAGCCATTCAAAGACTAACTTCAAGCTAATAATATGATCTACCCAAATATAATATAAACTAAATTTTTGATTTTCTAACCATGTGAGACTCATTTTGTGATGAGACCTCTCATTTGATATTGTGTAAAAAGATTTAATGCTCTAGTGTCCAGGCTATCAAATTTTCTTTGACAAAAAACTGTTGTATGCCCATATACAGGAAGTGATGTCATCATATAACCATTATTTCATGTCAAACTTGGCAGTCTGAATAGGGTTTAAGAATCAACTATGTGTAGAAGCAGTTTGGCACAGCGTGAATGGTTTGGTTTCCCAACCTTGAGGTCGGGGTTTCAATCCTTCGCTGTGCATTTCGCTTGTGTCCTTGAGTAAGGCACTTACCTGCATTGCTTCTCTCCACACCCAGGAGTATAAATGGGTACCTGGTGGGGTCGCTTGCTCCTACGCTGACTACAGCAGCAACACTTAAGCATTGTGGATCCACTTAACAGGGACAGAAGCACTTCGTATCTGCAAAGAAAAGCGCTATATCAATAACCAAATATAAATGGATCAATTAATTTTTTTCAGAGTTCTTAATAAAAAATCAGAGTAAATATATATTGCTATTTTTGTATTTTGCTTATATAGAGTTTAATACGTGATGATACCAAGTGGTCTTGTGATTTAAAAACTTACTCCCAGGCGTCCGTGTTAGCCTTCATTAGTTATATGTATGCGGCAAATGTAGATATTTCAGTGTTTGTATTACCCGAATTAATCCGCTTACTCAAAAGGTATGTTGTATTATACTTTGATGACTGACATAAAAATTTGTTGCATACAGATAGAGATTCCTCTATTGTCATGAATCTATTGTCAAAAATTTCATTAAACCCAGTTATTTTATGCCAATTGTACTTTTGCTGTACCAATACTGGGTTTATAAAAAATACATACAAATATGTGTACATTATTGGTTGGTTGGTGTGAATCACACTAATGTTGTTAACTGATTTTAATAGTCCAAAAAATTATTTCCAGTGTGGTCCTGTTGGTGAATTGGGCAGTACAGGTATATGCATTTCTTAATGTGCACATCGGCCATATTGCTTTCAAGACCGAGAGATTGAAAAGTCTGTAATACAAAAGGTGTTGCCATCTCGATGAATCTCCTGAAGAGCAGCGATATAAAATTGAACTAAGGATTTAAGAATTAGTTTTAAAAAGCATCTTCAAAGTGTCAGGGCACACACTGGCTACCAACTGTTTGCTGTACCCACTATATGCTGTACACTCTAAATATTATTTGAAATTAAAATTTATTTAAAGTAAACTGGTGACTGTAATGCAATTTAATGGTCTGGCATTTTGTTGTAGACCTTTTCTATGGGATACAAAGTGCTAATGATTGCCATTGTGTATGCGTTCAGCTGTAACGATCTTTTACATGACCTTTGTCACTGGCTCAATTGCATCTTCGGCATTTCTTTAGCAATAGTCTTTCGGATGAGACAAGATGTTGGTCTGTTATCAGTATGGCCCATGCACAAGCTTAAGTACAGATGGAAATAATAGGGGGTTGACTGCCGTTGCACTGCTCAATTCATCACCAGTAGAACACTACTGGAAATGACTGTTCAGAATTTCAGACTTTCATGGGTTAACCATGGTGTATTTCACATCAAAGGAATTGAATCCAAACTCTGCTTTAGTTCTCAAGAGAGTGTTTTTTCGGATACAAACTCACCATTTTTGCTTTTTTTCAAGGTATCACATGCAAGGTTTGGATGATTTGTGCCGTAAACTGGAAGCAGACCGACAAAAAGACAATCATGATTTAAAATTTGTTTCTAAAGATTTGGATGAACTAATGGAAGGCATTGAAGAGGAAGAAATGGAGATTTGTTATTCTGATCGGGAGAATGAGGAAGAGAATCTTGGTCATGTTCTTCTTGACATTGATGATGCCAATAATGTTTTTATGGAATCTCCTCCAAGAGCCAAACCCAGTTCACCATCTAATGATAATCTGTCTATTGAACTAACAGAAGCAAATAGAATAAAAGACATACATGACGTATCATGTGGAATGGATGTCGAAGAAATTCCTAAGAACCTTACAGTAGAGAAAACTACTGAATCTGAAGAACAACCTCAAATAGATAATTCTGCTAGAGAAGTTCATGTTAACGAAGAAGAGGTCATCGAATGTGTTGCTTCAACTCCGGTTATAAGAAATATACAAAGATGTAATTTCCGTCCGCCCATCACATCACCAATTTTGGAACCAAATTTTAAGTCTGTTGAAATATCAACTTCAGTTGTACGAAATGTAAAGAGACGCCATTTGCCTGCTTCTAGTACATCTCCAATTTCGGAACAAAGGTCAATTTCTGAGTTTGTTGATTTAACAACTCCACTTGCAGGAAATGTAAAAAGATGTTATTCATCTTCTCCTACTATAACTCCCATGTTGGAACCAAGTTCTAAGTCTGTTGTTTCAAAAACTCCAGTTGCAAGTAATGTAGAAAGACAGCAAGTGTCACCTCTAATTAGTTATCCAGTCTCTTCAATGTTAGAACTAAGTTCACAGTCTGTTGCATCAGCAATATCAGTTGTAAGTAATGAACAAAGACAGCAGCCGCAACCTCAAATTCTGGAACCTAGTTCAAATCATAATCGAGAGCCTGTTGATTTTACATCTTCGCTTAGGAGAAGGATCGAAAACAGATTAGATGGTCATGCAAAGAAAATTGAATTAGCTGATACTGCAAGATTACAGGTCTCGGAGAGCGAAGTGACTTCAGATACATCCCAAAAGAGTGTGAAATTATCAATTAAGAATAACAGAAATGATGAACCATTTACTGATGATCATATAGCGGATTTAAAGTTTTCTTATGATAAAGGTGATGGGATATGGAATGAGTCTGGGGATGTGTGTGATTTAACAGGTGAAGAACCTGAAGAAGAGAAGAACACAGTAGCAAAAATGAATGAGGAGCTGAGAAAAAAGGAGGATGGTGATTACGGCAAAACTAAAGAAGTAATGCCGGCTTTAATTTTCAGTCCAGTAAACAAAAATGCAGATAATGTGAGTATTAATGTTTTTGGTTACAAGTCTCCCTTTAATTAAAGACCACTATTAAGACCTATGGTTTCATGGTGTAATACTTGGCTTTTAATTTGAAAACAATATTGTAAAGATAGAAAACTGAACCAAAAGACCTGGTGTCCCCGACTTAACTGACCTGCACCAGTTGCCTCTTCGACCACACGGAAATGGTCAAGGGGATGAAGCAACGGAAACTCTGACATTGTTTTAAAAGACTTTAAATATTTAATCAATTTGATAGTAACATAACAGGTAATAATGATAAAATAAATGTTTCATTCCAACAAATTGTTTTGAGCTCTCCAACAGGTAGAGGCTGTGGGAAGTTTTCTATGATGAAGGGGACCCACCATCATCTTCCCCACTGCACCACCACTGAGGAGAGTGGGGCTTCAGTATGATGGTTTGTAGTTATTTTCCAATCCCAGGGTTGTATGTTCAAATCCTATTGATAACCATGTCAACTTTAACTCGCTAAAAAGAGTTTAAAATACCAGACCTCCTTCATGGTTTTACTATCAGCATTGTTGTTAATTTGCTTTCCGAAATTCTTTACCTTGTCAGATTCCACCATGAATTTAGTTTTCACATTGCACCATGATCCACTGTCTACTTCAGGTGAATGCATCAGTGTGTCCAAGTCCCGGTGACCAGTTACATAAAGATGCCCTGGAATTCAGTTGTACTCAGAGCTTCTTACTAGATTTACAGTCTGGAAAACTCCAGGAGGATCAGCTGTGGGGAGGATGTGTTGTAAAGATGACTGATTGCCGGAATCAGATTGCCATGGCCGCTAATGGTAAGAATGCTGCCTTGTATATAAATTACTAGTAATTATAAATTACTAGTAATTATAAATTACTAGTAATAATTAAGAGAATGTGCTTACATGATCAGTAGATTTTACATTATTAAACCTCTATGTTTGTTAAATAATAATTATTGTTATATTGATCATAATTGAAATTCAAAATTATGAGCTTGGGATCAAAGCAAAATGTTTATTTTCATTTTATTTTGCTTAACAATTAAATGGCAATATTAACTTTTTATTAGATTTGCCTGAAAAAATAAAGAAAAAGAAGAAAGCAGCATCAAAAGGAAAGGAAGCACAGGTGCCCATGCCAGCTGTAGATGCGCTGAATACACCTGCACTAAAGGTAATATACAGGTGTCCACTAATATGCAAATTATGAAATAAATTTGATTAATGATCATATCACTTGCTGCCCTCATAAGCACTGTACATTTATTTTATTTACAAGAGTTCTATAATTTAATATTTTTTTAAATTTTGTTTTATTTTGTATTCATGTAATTTTGCAAGTATTGAATTTGTAATTAAAGGATGAAACAAAGTCTGATCCTGAGTCTCAATAATTGTAATTATCATAATAATTAGTGTCTTGTATAAAGAGAATTTTTGTTGGAATATTTATGCACTTTACAAATTGAGAAATTTATAGTGGATTTTATTCTTGTCACAGTGAAGGATTGAAACCCCGACCTCGTGGTTGGGAAACCAAACCAATTCCACTGCACAAAACTGGCTCCACTCACTATCAGGCATACCAACGACCGAAAATTTCACCAGAATTACTCCGCTTTTCACGCATTACAGCCGGCTGAAATAAATAAAGACCAATTAATTTCGTCCTGAATAGCGCCCTGAACTGTATACGAAATAGTAGTTCGTGCTCCATAGTGTACTGATTTAGAAAAAAAAAACAATTTCATTGACCATATCGTTGACAGAGTTGCACTCTGAGCTCTATACGAAAAATGGTAATTCACGCTCCACGCTCCACAGATTTCAAAAAAACAAATTTCATTGGTCAAATCGCTGATAGAGTTGCACTGCTCTCTGAACTGTAAAACGTTCAATGGGCTACTGGTTTCTTAAGAACAACAGTCTAGTATTAAAGTACCAAAATGGAGTCCAATGAGAGTGATGTGGATGTAGGCCTAGGCAGTGCTCGGAAAAACTAGTAGTAGTAGTGTTGAGCTTACTCCAAAAAGGAAGCTAAAACACACACAAACATTGCGTGCAAGTTATAACGAGAAGTATCCTGTGATTTTGAAATCAAATGTAATGCCTACTCTCGTTAGGCCTAGGACTAGTGTCACACGGCGGTACGTATTGCTGATGTAAAGCGTTATTGTGAGTCAAAACATTTAAAATATGCTAATAATACTCGATCACGTTGGTACCATATATCTTAGCAAAAAATTCAACATACTCCGCTGGCATTGCCAAAAATCCTCTCAAAAGGTTTTCAGACGCCTCTTTTTGGCCTTGTAGGGTTGGAATGTCTGCAGTATGCCATACAATAATTATTATATATTTTTTGTGTTCCAGAAAGAACTCAGCCAGTTTGGTGTAAAGGCCCTAAGTAAAAAACAGGGTAAAACACTGTTGAAAGAAATTTACAGACAGTCAGAAATAGGTATGTTATAAACATCTGATAAATTATTCACTCGATTATGCATGCATTTATATATTTTAATATTACTTTACTTTTTCATTCAATCATTCATTCATTCATTCTTTTATTTCAGGATAGATTCATTATTCATAATTTTATTTTCCTCACATGAGGGGGTAGTTAACAAAGGAAGATATTCCCTGTACAAGTATCAAAACTACCGAAGCATAGCAATAAAAACAAAAATATTAAAACACTGTAAACATCAAAAAGAAATAATATAAAAATAGTAGAAATCCAGTAATAATAATAATAAATAATAATAATAATATAATAATAATAATAATAGCAATAATAATATTCATAATAATGATCACAGAAATAAGGATAATAATCGTAATATAGTGATAATAACAAAAATAACAATAGTATTAAGGGTGAACAGTAAAAATTATTGATTTCTAAATGTCATATAGATAGGTTGACTATATAACTAATTTGTTATTAGTTATTTTTATAGCGCCTTTCCTTTAGTGCTTTTTCCCCCTGGTCATTGGGTCCAAATGCTTAAGTGTTGCTGCCATATTGGTGCAGCAGTACAGCAGGCAACCCTACTATGTACCCCTTTATATTCCTGGGTGGAGAGAAGCAATGCAGATCAATTTCCTTGCACAAGCAAAATGCACAGCGAGGGATTGCATCCCCAACCTCGTAGTTGGGCAACCAAACCATTCCTGCAACACCACTTTCTATTAAATCCACATTTATTTTCACATATACCAATTTCAGGCGAAGAAAAGGATGTAGAGGATGAACAAGCTAACAAACAGAGCAGCAACGATGTTTCGCATTCAGATATTTCAAGTACAGAACAAAGTGAAAGGTATGCTATTGGTATTTCTTATTCCTAAGATATTTGTTTTAGGAATACGTTACGTGAGAAGCACATAACATTAATATGCATTGAAATTTTAATAATTTTCTGGCAAAATTTGTTGGGAGGGATGTGCCCATTATGCTCCCTACTGGATCTGCCCCAGATTTTTGTACAATCTGTTGTTTTTTTTTAAATTATGAATTAACGTTTTAATTACTCTTATAATTGTTAATACAATATTACAGTAGGTTTTTTTTTTAGAACAATTTACATGTTTTTTTTTTTTTCAGCGAGACAAGTGACGGTGAGAATCCCCTACTTGATGAAAACCTTATTTGTTCTCCAACAAAGCATGGGGTGAGTTACATGGGTATTTTTACAAAATTGTGGTGTAATTTGTGAACAAGGAGAGAACGATTGTGGTCATTTATAAATAGTATAATCATACAGTGATGGAGAAATTTGAAATAGGGGTGGACAGCGGTGCCCAGAAGGCAATTGTACAGATAGGGTCGAGACATCTCAGCCCCATCTTGGTTGGGGCTCAGGTACAACATTTTTTATCGATAGCACGTTTAGTCTTAAAATTGAATGAAATTTCTTTTTCCCCCCCATTTTTTTTTTTCAAAAATTTGAATCCATGAATGATAAAGCTGTAATTTAAATTTGCAAGTGGTCTGTGCTATGAGAAACTGTCTTAATGAATTAAGTATTTGTGACCCATATTAATAAGTTTTCCTTTGATTACAAGTGTTTATTTGATGGCTTGATAAGGAGGATATAAAGGTCAGAGTTCAGACTGTCTACATGAGTGTAATCATAAATTCTTATTAATACTGAATATGAAGACTAGAATTTCAAACCTTATAAATACCTGTACTGTTTTTTTTCATTTAGCAAGATGTTGATATACAGCTCAGTGGATTTATAAAGCAAAATCAAACACTGTTTACTAGTGTTTTAATGTATGAGGTATGCTACAGTTATTTGATTCCTGATTTTAATTATATAACTTATATATAATAATAATTATTCTATATTTACATAAAACTGTTGAGATGAAGCAGGTTAAACACGTTATGTTGTCATTGCGGACTTATAAAATCCGCATACGCTATATAAATAAAAGAAAATGCATACTTTTGGAGTCCGTACTGAGCCCAAAAAATCTGCAATGAAAATATAACGTGTTGTTATCAAGGGGTGGTGAACTCAAAGCCATAACTTCTCAAGTGAATTGCCTATATATGGGCTTGATGATGTCATATATACCCATATATGGGCAAACCACAGGTTTTTGTGTCATAAGATATAACTTTAAGGCAACAAATAACATTCAATAGCATACTTTTTTATTTGATTTGCTTAGCATGTATATGAAATAGGAATACAGTACTGTATATCACATCGGCCAACTGTCATGCATAATGCATGAGTCCCACTCATGAGCTTCCACTTTTTACGTCTCATGCCTACATTGTATTTTCTCGCGCATCATAAAAATGTTTATAAGAGATAAAATGTATAAAGATGAATTCGTCATTAAACTGGGAATATAGGCCATTTTAACTTTGTTTAACGAAGCTAAACTGACCTGACTGCATGTAATCCATAGTATAGTAAGAAAAAGATCTATCCATAGTACAATAAGAAAAGATAACATAGAGGGTGCTCTATTTTGTGATTATTGGATAGAGGGTGCTATATATATATATATTTTTTTTTTTTGTCTCGCATCAAAGACTAACACAGTTGGCAGTTTTATTATACAATATACATACAGTGTTTTTTAAAATTATTTTTGCAGCCTATAAATTTTAGCAAATTGCATCAAGATGTTCTTGATAGTGGAATCAAATGCTCCAAGGCTAATTTAATCAAGTTCCTTGATCAAAAGGTATGAAAAATGTATTACGATTACAGGCAGTGGTTATACACCAGTCATAAATTCCAAAATAAGTGGATGTTTTTGTATTGGTTTAAGACTGGTGTAACTGTAGCCACTGCTTCTAAATTAACATTGATTTATAGCTAAGGATTAGAATGGTTAGCTCACATCACAACATTTTTTTCACATTTTTTTGTTAGCAGTTTACGTCTAAATATAGCATTCTGCATCTCAGCCAGTCTCAGAGATAGAAAGCTCAGGATGTTATCTTTTTTACATTGATAATGAATGAATATGGTTGGACTGTATATTGTCATGTGTTACATTGCACAGTCTTGCAAAAATGCCAAAGAAAGAGATTATTTTTGGCATGAGAGCCCAGAGCTCCAGTTTCAACTTTACCTTGCAAGCATGATTGAAAAACATTTATCTAAAAGAGGTTTATTTTTCTTCGTTGTCTATACATTTACAGAATAATTCTTATATTGACTAGAGTATGGTTTTAATTTCTTCCAGTGTATCAACTTTCGCTTCACTGAAGTGGGCAGCAATCGCCAGGGGAAAACAAGAAGCAAAAGGAAACCAAAGAAAAAAGAAAAGCCTTCTTCATAGGTCACTAAGGTCATTGGCTGTCAATCAGTGGTGTATCTTGCAGAATGCATGTACCCTGCCCTCCCCCCTCATCAAGAAAAAAGCTTGCCTTCCTCCAGTCACACCCCCTTCAGTCCCCTCATTGAGCCCCCACTCCACATTAGCAACCACACCCCCCCCCCATTTTAAGACTTATATATACACCACTACTGTCGTTTCCTATGACTTCGCATTCAGTCAAACGAATCGTAATAAACATACGGTAATTTGAAGAAGTATTTGTGATACTGTACTTTATATTAGACAACACTTATACAAAGATTCTGACTTGCTACAAGATTATTTAAAACTTGATGAATACAATTTGTGTAGATACTGGTATCGGCATTTATAATGCGCCTCTTCCTAGCGGTTATAAAGGGCAGTTCGTCTTCCTGGTCATTGGGTCCACATGCTCAAGTTTAGCTGCCGGTAGTCAGCAGCATGTAGAGAGAGTAGCAACTCAAATAAAGTGCCTTGCTCAAAGACACAAGTAAAATGCACAGGAAGTGATTGAAACCCCGACTTTGAGGTTGGGGAAACCAAACCGTTCCCGCTGCACCAAACCGCTTCCACAAGATAGATTTGAGGCACTTATGTTTGCCAACTTTGAAAAATAACAAGTGTATGTCATTCAGGTATTTACGATTTTTCATGGAATTGATTTTTTTGGGCCCAAATTTGAGTATTCCAAAACTAGAGGCCATCCATGAAGTTAAAAACTATGAACAAAAATTAATTGTAAGAATAAAGACATTTGGGGTTTGAAGTTATTGATGATTGAAATTTCCTTCCTTGTAATGTGGTGTGTCCATGGAGAAATAAAATTAAGGCTCACTAAACTTTTTGGGTGGCAGTGGTGCAACGCCCATGCGCTCTCATGCAGCGGTTCGCAGTGCCCTCAAATTCTAGGGGCCCCGAAGGGGCCCTACCATAGGTTCCTCGATCTAGACGATAAATAACACCATAATGTATCTCTGAAATCGACTGTAGGGCATATATCAATGGGGGCCCCCCTCTCGGCCCGGGACCCCACCAAATTTGTCAACAAAAAGAAATTAAAAATGGAGATAAAAAGAAAATTATATTCACAATTTGAATTCTGTGAGTGCCTTTTCCGGCCATCTAGATGTGCATAGTAATACATCTCAGCCCCACAAGGACAATGGCATAATGTGTGTCTGAAATCGACTGTTAAAAAAATATTTTTTAACTGGAGATAAAAAGAAAATTCTATTTACAATTTTGTTTGTGAAGTGCCATCTAAAGTTGCCATATTCATAAATTTTCTTAATCAGCTCCAACCATGGTGGGTCTGAGGTGGCATAGACTCTTCAACTGTGAAAGTCCCTCTCCCTGGCCTCAATTTTCCGGATTCATATTATATCATTTATTCTTAAAAAAAATTTAGAATAAAAATGCACATCTAAAATCCCACGATGGAATTGGTGACCAGGACCCAAAAAGGACCCCCAGTTTTAGAAATACACAGGGCCCCCGGCCCCATTATTACACCACTGTTGGGTGGGTTTAGAAAAAGTTCGGCCCACCATCTGAAGCTCAGCAGACCATCTAAAGTTCAGCACACCATCTAAAGTCCAACACACCATCTAAAAATTCTAAAGTTCAGAACACCATCTAAAGTTCAACACACCATCTAAAGATCTAAAGTTCAGCACACCATCTTAAGTTCCACACACCATCAAAGAGGATGCACTAATGATTAAGAGACAAATGAACATAGATTTCAGTCTTGAAGATTTAAGGTATCAATTCAAGGTGATTTGCTCAGCCAAACATCTGAAGTTATGTACACCATGTGATATTCAACACATATATTACCAAAGACTACTAAATGATCAAGAGACACAGAGATAAGAGTCCCAAAGGTTCAAGTTATGACTGTAAAGCCTGGCACTCAAACGCACAACGAATCCACCTCTGCTCCCGGCGAGCGATAGACGACGTAATGCTGTCTGCTGAGTGTTAGTGGCACTCTAAAAGAATCCTCATTGATTGTTCAGTGCCATCGCGTGCGTTCGCTTTGCCGTTGCACTCAGTGAGCTATTACCCGGCTTAACTCAAGTTAAGTGGAATAACAGATGTTTGTGTTGCTGCTTTGAACTCCAGCACCATCTTTGGATTACTGCATGTAGAATATTAATGTACACTAACTTACATATGGGCAAAGTGAATGAAAATATAATGGCAACCCTATGTGTGCAGCCCGCCAACCATCTTTGGCTAGAAAACCCCCTTGTTTTGTACAGCCTGACACTGATCATCTGTAAAAAGTAATGTTAGTGAGCATAACAGGCCCGTAGCTTGACTTAATTTGTGCGAGGTTCGTTTCAGTTGAAAGTGGACCCTTTGGCTTATATGATCTCCAATATTCTGGAGAACACTGAAATAATATATACGAATATTAATTTTCGTTTTTAAATGCGGACCTTCTCCGGCTTTTTTGGCGGTTCGTCGTAACCCCTTGCCCCCTCCCGCCGACGCTACGGGCCTGCATTAAATGATATAAAAGCAGTCCACAAATGGGTTTTTTTGGAGCACACTAACAAATGTTTAGGTGCTTCCCTCGGTGTTAAATTCAATTTGGCCCTCTGACCAATTTGTTATGCCCAACCCCGCACTAACTATTCCACAGAAGCATATATTTCATCTCCCTCAAATAATTTCTTACTGACACAATCTAAGGTGTTTTTTCAAAGCTAATTTTCACATGATTTTGAGAGCACACTGAAAAATCAAAGTTTGATTGGGGCCATCAGTGTTATATCAAAAATGTAATTTGGCCCTCTGACCCATTTTTATGTCCGTCCCTGCACTCACTATACCACAGAAATCTTAATTTCCCCTCCCCCATATAATTTCTTACTAAACAAACTAAGGTGTGTTTTTATAGCTATTTTCACTGTACTTATAGGGTGTTGTTTTAATAAATCCACTGAAGCATACACATTTGCAGGTGGGAATTTCCTTTGTTAATGATAGTGCAAAAAACTATAGACAGTAATTTATATCAAAATGTAATGTTATACCGTTAAAAATCATTGAGACGGTTTTTCTGTGGCAGGTGTTTTATAACATATAAACATTGACCATAGAAAAACAATTTAATTAGGCCTATATGTAAAATTAACCAATCATTTATTGAAACAGCAAAAACACGTTTTTGAACATTCACAGTAGGCCTAAATATCACAATTTTGTAATAGCGTACTAGTAATTATAATACTATTCTCGAGAAACAAAAAAAAAAAATCATTTTCAAATAGTCGCTGCGTGATGACACAGCCGGCGGAACGTTTTTCAAAGTGATGGGCACTAGGAAGATGAATGGGAATATGAATCAGAGGGGTCTGGGTTCATGTTTAGGGATTGGGGGTCAAAATGTTTCCTAAAACATCAAATAGAAGGGGGTCCGGTGGTCCTCCCCGGGAAAATTTTGTTTCTTAGATGGTGGGAAATGAGCTTTCCCGACTTTTGAGCTAGGTTGTTTTTTTAAGTTCTTCAAAATTCAAGGTTTTCTCTCTCTTGAAAACGGTCAGATAACTTTCTCATTCTTATTATAGCAGTAAGTAGGCCTAGGCCTGTATAGGCCTACATACACACAAAATTGAGTAGTTGCATACGTATTCTTTTATCCATGAATCGATAAACCCCAAAGAGAAAGTGCAGGGGTTCTCCCCGAGAAAATTTTGATTGATGGCGCGAAATGATCAGCTTTTCTGACTTCTGAGGTGTCTTTCAATGCCTTTTTAAAATTAGGTTTTCCCCTCTTGAAAACGATTTCATATGAAACCCCAAATAGAAAGGAGGGTCGGGTTCTTCCCGGGAAAATATTGATTTCTAAATGGTGGGAAATGAGCTTTCCCGACTTCTGAAGTGTCTTAATGACTAAATTCAGGGTATTCCCCTCTGGAAAACGGTCAGGATACATTTTTCTCATTCTTATACAGTAAATGCCTTATGTGTGTATAGGCCTAGTCATAGCCTACATACATAAACAAAATTGAGTAATTACATAGGCCTACGTAAGGCCTATTCTTTTTTCCATGAATCGATGAACCTCAAAAATCGAAGAGGGTCGGGGTCTCCCCCGAGAAATTGTTAATTCCTAGATTTCGGGAAATGCGAGCTTCCGACTTCCCATTCAGACTAGCTTCGCATTGCGATCGGTTGTAGCAATTGCGACACCCAATCGCGAAGTAAAATCGTGTCTGAAAGCTCACCAATAGTATTGATAAGTAAATAATCGATTTCGCAATTGTTACCCGTTGCGATTGGGTGCTACAATCTTTATTACTCCCAATTACCACGGAATCCGATCGCAACGGATTCCATAGGCACTGATTGGCTGAGGTCAAACAAAGCAGGACGACCTATATTGTTGCTATCAAAGTAAAAAGGTGTCTGAATGCTCTGTCGAAGTTTGCGAATTGTTGCTGAACAATTTGGATTACAACTGTTTACAACGCAACCGGTCGCAATGCAAAGTCTAGTCTGAATAGTAGGCCTACATATGGTATTATACCAAAAAATTCAGCTTATGAGTCCTGAAGGCTAAACGAGAGGTCAAGAATTCTTTTTATTATTTTTCTCCCAAGGGAGAGGGAGTCAGGACCTCTGACATCCCCCATCCCCAGATCCGCCAGTGTCAATTGCGAGAAAGTTTCGGTCGGGAACTAGATTTAAAACACTCTTTCCGCTCCCTCTCCTCCTTCCATTTCTTGCATTTACAGTAATTCTTTCCGATCATACAAAAATCTCCATGGACATTATAATTTTCTGCCAAAAAGTAGGTGGGTGGGGGGGTAAATTCGCCTCTGAATGTTATTGCCGCGGTACTTAAAGCAATAAATGAATGTTTCTATCAGAATTATCTTCTTCTCATATGCAACTCCAGAGTAACTTGGAAGAAGTCTCTGTAACACTTGCTTGAAATTGGAGGTGCCATCGGACCCGAATGATCACATCGAGCATTTACAGTATATATGGCGCTCTACATAACGAACACTGCAGCACCTACTATATACAATTCAAGTGGGCAATAATAATTAAATATTAAAAAGAAATTCAAAAGAGAGCACCTCCACTAGGATGGAACATATATACAAAGACACAATATATGGTAGAAACTTGCATTGAACTGTCTTCATAAAGCTTAAACTAGGATAAACTTCATAAAAATATATATATTTCATCCGAACAATTTAAATTAATAAATGTAACTGTACACACACATAGATTAAATGTTTACTGCAAGTACAAACGAAGGTACATGATTAGAATCAAATATAGAATTTAAGCTAACAAAAACAATATCCAAAACAAATCTACGTTATATTAGGCCTATTGAAAAAAAAATGTAATTCAAAAATTCGGCCAAATATATTTTGGCCGTGACTTTTCAAACGTTACGGCCAGGCAAATTTTTATACGGCCAGATTTGAGGAATCTGGCCATCAAAAAGGTCAAATGGCAACCCATGCTAGGGTTTGCAAGGAAGGGACTGGATATACGTACAGCGGCTGTGTATACAATAAAAGTGGTTTTGTTCTATATTTGATTCTAATCTTGTACTTGTTTGTACTTGCACTAAACACTTAATATATTTCCCCCGATTTGACGTAAGAGAATTTATTTAAAAGATAACAGTTACATTTAATAATTTAAATTGTTCGGATGAAATATATTGTTATAAAGTTTATCCTCGTTTAAACTTTATGAAGACAGTTCATTGCAAGTTTGTACCATATAT